ATGAGAACAGTATTAGATATCTATAATAAATCAAGTAATTAGCTTAATTAAAAAAAATTTTGACTAAAATTAAAGAAAATTTTTTAGTTGAATTAAGGCAAAAATTCTAAGAAATTAAAAGAATACAACTAAAAAAGTTTCTTTAATCTCACTTAGATTTCTTTTTTTAGATTGAACTAATCATTCAATTTAATTATAGATATCTAATAATATTCTCATATATGTGACAAAAACATCCATTAATTATTTTTAATTTATTATTTTTTAAAATTTTTAAACTTTGAGACTAAATTGTTATATTTTTAACTTTTAAGAACTGATCTCATAAATATTTTATTTTTACTTTAACTGAAGTTAATAGATTTTGTTAGTTTAAGGGTTAAAATTTTCAAAATTTTAAGTTTAGGGATTAAAAACTTCATAATATAAGATGAAAAACAAGACTAGGTGATGCATGATGTCTCACCCCAAAATTAAAACCCTTTGGCTAAGTGGTTGTTGCAGTGTAGTTTTAAGTGTCGAATCTACAGGGAAGTTATATAAAATCAATAAAAAGAGTTGTCACAATAAAAAAATTAAATTAAAAGATGAATTATAGAATAAAGAATAAAAATATTTAAATAAAAGATGATAATCATAAAGGATTGAAAACAATATTATGATGAACAAAACTTCAGGATTCACTTAATTGATTTGTTTAACTGTTATAAATTTTGATTTCTATTTATTACTTAATTGCATGTTTCACATTCCAAACAAACAATCGTAAGATTTAACTTTGAAAACCAATAATAATAACTAATGTATTTATTTTGAAAGAAATTAATTTCAATGAAAAACAAATTGATCTATCATTACAAACTATCTAAGAGCGACAATATATCTAATCGACAATACAGCAGTAAAGGATCAACCTGCAAAACAGATCTATCAATCAATTATATTCTAATAAATTACACATAAAAAGAGTATAACTAATCTTATATGAAATTTTATGAATATAATTTTTAAGGTTTTCAAATCTAAAAAATAATTAATAATCTCTTAAAAATAAAATTAAATAATAAAATTTATGAATGAATCAAAATAAAATAACTAGTCAAATTCTTTAATTAAAATCCTCCCTAATTTTGTTAAAAATTTAGTTACCATTTGATATAATTCTCTGGTCTCGGAGAAAAAAATAAAAGTCTAAAAATTGTTTCTCTCGATGCTAAACTTAGTTTTGAAAGCTCCTATTTATATTAAAAATAAATAAGAGTGTTTGATAACTAAGATAGCAATACAAAAAATTAATTTTATTTTTTCTTTCTTCCCACATAATTGGTCGGACAGTCGTTGGAACCTCGATCACGGTGCGGCAACCTTGATGTTTCTATCTTTCCGTCTGCGCTGTTCAAACTTCAAAGCATACTGCACAAATTTAGCTCTTAATAAAAAAATGGGGAAATCCAATTTGGGCCGACTTCCAAATTTACTCCTTAGCTTCCCATCTTTCCAACTCTTTGCATTCAAATCCTTTTCTTCTAATTCTTTCCATTTGAATCGAACAATACCTTCAAGCAGCCCAAGACTTGCACAACATTGTAATGAACACTTATGAAATTACTTGTGAAAAATAAAATTCTTAAACTCATAATTCCACAAATGTTAATGATTAAGCACATTTTAAATATACATTTTTTTTCTTTCATCAATGCATTTCTCTTTTCTGTATCGCAGTGCTTCCTCTGTTTTCTGCAGCGCAGTGCTTCCTCTGTTTTCCAGATTTTGAACATGAACAAAGCAGCCAAACAGATGCACGACCGACCAAGTTTCCTAATTTTATGAGTTGAGTGGAGTCCATGAGAAGATGAAGAAAAAGACTGGGAGATGCATTTCTCTTTTCTTCCATTTACAATTATGATTGTTCTTGAGTGAATGATGAAAACAGTAAGTAGTCTTACATCCAAATTAAACTCAAACACGATGACAGTAAGTTTCTCAAACAATTCAAAGTTGAAAACCATGAAAGTAGAACAACTCGAATATATAAAACATCATACAAACAACATAGAGTCCATCATACATAAAACTAGAAACGATGACACCAGGGAAAAGGAAAAGGAAAAAACCAACAAGACATGGAAGAGGAAAACACCCAACAATACATAGGACCAGAAAGCATACAAGAACATCATACATATATATAGCATGGTGTTCTTAATTAGAATTCGTTGGTCCACACCTCCTGACCAAGTATAGTTACTCTTCTTCTCGCCCCAATCCAATAACGCAGTGGGAAGCCTTCAAGACACTGAAATATGATTCTGTCACCAACTCTCAGTCCTTTCTCACGGACATAGTGGCACCACCCTGATCTCAGAACAGGCCGCGGGTTTTGGTTCGCTCGAACGTAGTATCCGAAATTCCATTCTCTTCCACCTGCATCTGATACCGTTATATGTATGGAGTGTCCTCCTTGAATCTGCGGCATGTTGTTCATGAAAGGAACTGGGATTACCAACATGGAACCAACGTCTGTTGTCGTCAATTCTTTCACAAAGCTTGCCATTCTCGATCAATTGCTTGATGAACCTTGCAAGAAAATGCAAGTGAGCCTCGTAAAGACCAAAGAGCGAAGAAGACCTGTGTGTCGAAAAAGACCTGTAAGTCGAAAAAGACCCGAACGGTTGACTGCAAAATAATGGACAAACAGCGACTAAAGCCTCCATGTATGTGCATCGTAAAAGTTAGCCGAGCCACATAAAAGTTGTCACAGGCCCGGCGGACGTTAGCAAAGCACCTAAGCGAACTGCCAACGTGCAAAATAATGGGCAAAGAGCGAAAAAGGCCTCCATGTATGTGCATCGTAAAAGTTAGCCGAGCCACATAAAAGTTGTCACAGGCCCGGCGCACGTTAGCAAGAGCACCTAAGCGAACTGCCAACGTGCACCTAAGCGACAGAGTTGGCGGAGCCACATAAAAGTTGGCACAGTCCCTTCCTTTCTTAGTTGAGTTAAGATAAAAGTTTTAAGAAATTAAAAGAATACAATTAAAATTTTTTTTTAATCTTAGTTATATTCCTTTTTTTAAAGTGAGCTAATTACTCAATTTGATTTTAGATATCTAATACCATTTTCATATATGTGACAAAAATATTCACTAATTATTTTTAATTTATTAATTTTTAAATTTTTAAATTTTGGGACTAATTTTTTATATTTTTAATTTTTAATGACTAGTATTATAAATATTTTATTTTCACTTTAATTGAGA